TGTGTTCTGGCTTCAGGAGGAGACATCTCTGGGTTTGAGGCAATGCTAGGGCTATTCAGGAAGGTAACACATCTCACCTAGGCATGGGAGACTCACAAAAGGATAAGTCTGTCCCAGGGTACAAAGCTTGGGAGTTACCAGTCTGCTGGTGACACCAAACATTCTCCTTGGTAGCGCAAAGTGATGGACTGAAGATGCATCATTCTTCATTCATTATCTTGTTTAACATAGGGAAAAAAAAAAAAAAAAAATAACAATAAAAATCCCTGCTCAGTGGCTACTTTTCCAGCTCGCATAAATCAGCCATTTAAAAAAAAAAAAAAAAAAAAAAAAAAAAAAGAAAAAAGAGGAGAAAGATTCATAGCCCAAAACATAAGCTCACTGCTCCTTGTTCAAGAAAAGGCACCAGCCTAGGTGCTTTCTACTGCCTCTCTCACAACCACAAGCAGTGATTTGAAAATAGAAGGTTTATGCCTTGGTCATGTCCTTGCCTCAGGAGAAACTGGCCTCCCTGTGAGTGCCAGGGAGCTGGGCCCCTGCCAGCGTGCTCTCTAACAAGCACCATGGGAGCTGCAGCTCTGCAGCCTCTGGGACTGCTGTGCCTTGCTGCCTTGGCTCCAGTGCCCCTCTGACAGTGCTGCAAACAAGCAGCAGCTAAATATGATTCACATCTTATTATCCATATAAGTGCTGCTGCTTACTGTCTCCAAGGTCCCCTGTGCTAAATAAATTCAAGAATCTGAAGGCAAAAATGTCATTCTGCGATACTGTTTCCAGGAACAATTGCTTCTTGCCTTTCAAGGGAGGTAAGGAGTCCACCAGGGCCCTACGAGTTTTCAAGTAATGCCCATTGTGGGAGAGGTAAAGAGCCAACACAATCCAACATTTGCCATCTGTGCCCTCATATCTGTTGCCTCTGAGGCCTGTCCTTTGCAATACTGAGCACAATGAGACAAGAGGGTTGTACAGGACTGGGATCATTGTAGTGGGATTTCTTATGGGACAGTATCACCCCTGTGCTTCTGTAGAACAGTGACAATTCTACCACAGAGAGAGGAAGGGGAAAGGTAGAATTGCACCGAAGCTAGGGAATTGTTGCCTAACAAAAGAAAATCCCAAATAAAACAAGTAACACAAGTGAGCAACTTTTGTCCTTTATTTGTATGGAGAAGGCTTTTCATAAAGAATGTGGTAGAATTTCTATATCTCCCCCGAGAAGCTTAGCACTGAGTGTTAAGAGACAGATGAAAGAGCTACTTAGCCACAGGAGCCAGGAAAATTTAACCAGGGCAGCAAAACAAAAATCAATCTGACTTCTAGTGTGTTTAATGTGATTTGGTTCAGAACTGAGTTCTGCATGAATACTTAGGAAAGCTTAAGATCATAAGAAGTTTGAGTTCCTTGAGCCAAACTCTGTGTCCCACTCTCTTTGCTTTTTGTAAAATGGCAATAACGTTTCCTGTCTACAGAATGATTTCCAATCTTCCCTGCCTTACCCATTGGTCTTACCACCCTCTTTTGCCTTATTGTTTTCAGGATTATTCCACAGGATCACATACTGTAAAGAAAGGAATAATAGCCTGCTCACCAGCATATTGCTGGGTCCTTGACTTGTGAGTAATGCTGTCCTTCTCAAAGTATGCTAGTAAAAATTTTATCCTGAATTGTGTAAGGGACATGAAACCTATTCTAAGAAGGTGTTGAATCTTACAAAAAAAAAAGAAAAAAATAGAGGAAAGAAAAATAATAAAAAGGAGGGGAAGGATATTTCTTGAATCCTTCAGGTCATAAACTCAGGTAGTAACTCAGCCTGACAAGGATAAAGAAGATAAAATCCAGATATCTCAAACACTTCCCTGATAGTCTGGACAGAAGCAGTTCTCCCAGGGCTGGAAGCCAATACTGGGTTTCACTGATAGGAGGTAGAATTTCCCATTTCTTCCTTGCTACATCTGTGGCAAAGCCCCCATTTCAAGATCCAGTCCCAGATTCAGTGAGCCATGCTGGAGCCATTGACTAGTGCAGGTAGTGAGCAAACTTATCTGGAAGAAAAATTCCTCATTTGGAAGAGGGTTCTTTTTTTTTTCTGTGAAACTAAAAGTTGGAAGAGGTGCTTCTTTTTTTTTTTTCTGAGACTAAATTTAAAAAGCAGCAACTGTCTACAGCTTTTCTAAAGTTTAGAATATTAAAATAAACCTTAAAAAACCATGGAAGCAACTAAGTATTTGGGAACAAAAAAAGAAACATTATTAATGCAGTTCAACAGTTTAGCATGATAATCTCACATTTGGGGTTCAGTCATCCTTTCTTTCCCAGTTTAAGATTAGATACAAAATAGACTAGAATTTACGTATTTATTTTTAAAATTAAGAGATGCAAAAATAAATAAGTAAGATGTAAACTCAGCTACATTAATATCCAGGACAGGACTGTGGTTATATAACAAAGTGGGCAAAATATTTTGCTTATTCCAAAATTCACTTTCCTCCTAATCTGTTTGTTCCTTAGGCTAAGAACAAAAGAGATTCTAAGTCTTTGCAGCCTGGAGAACTACTTGTGCTCTTCTTCTTTGTAGCAACTTTTTCCATACTTGCAATAATTATAAACACTCCCCTCAATTATTTCTTCTTTACATTAAACAGACAGTTATCTTTTGATCTTTCCTCCCTATTCATGCCAGGACAGCTTTTATATAATGGTGCAAACCACTGCATCTATTAACCATGTATTGCAGGCTCTAGGCATTCCAGGGGCTTTAACTTGACAGGGTAATACCTGTCACAGATTTAACAGAGCAGCTTATTTTAGCTGCTCCTGTAAGACTCTGTATGGCATGAAATGTGCTTGATCTCATCTGGTCCGTTCCTTCCACAGGACAGATTAAAGGAAAGTAAAAAAACCACAGAGCAACACAGGCAAGGGGTAATAGAAAAAAAAGTTGGAGATGTAGACTTCCTTTGTATCATAAAATACCCTCTAAAATAGTTAATTACAGAGTCCTCATTAAGACAAGTCTTACAGGACAATGTTGCCACTGTAGTATGTCTTCCAAGAATTAAGAAGCCTGGGACCCATCAAAAGCAGCACAACTTCACACATTACTTGACATCAAACATTTCCAATCCACCTTCCCAAGCAGGCACATAAAACTGGGTCTTACTGTAAAGAACTTCACCACACCAGACACAGGCCCCCAGCAAAGCAGCCTCCTTGCTGCCTCAAGGCTGATGCCTGGGTAAGAGAGGAGTGCACTTGGGAGGGGAGAGGTCTGGCACACAAAAACCAGGGTGTGACTGAACAAGGGTGGGGGAGCCCACACAGGAAAGTTTAATATTCCAGAGGCACGGAAGCCTCTGAAGTCTGGGGAGCCACATGAAAAGCAGGTGCCCGTCCAGGCATGCAGACTGTTGGGAGAGAGGATGAGAGGCTCCACGCCACAATTACACATCATCTTGTGACTGGTGTGAGAGCTGCCAGGAGCCAGGACACTGGAGCTGAGTGCTCCCTCGAGACAAGCTGCAAAGTGCTGAGCACCCAGAGCAGCAAAGGGAAAGCAAGTGAATCAGCAAGGGGCAAGTCAGCCCCCAAACACTGGAGTGGTGCAGAATGATATCAACATGAAGGTGATGCACCGAGATGAAAGCAGAGAGTTCCATTGTTTATAAACATGCCAGAGACAAACAGGTTACTGTGGAAAGTAATTTTATTTCAGAATTCCACACACTCTGTCACAGATCATGCACTTGGATTTTCCCCTTTGCACATACACAACCTCCAGGCCTGGGAGAGATGAGGCATCATCTCTTCACTTCTCACTGCGTGCCCACATACTAAGAATGAGGGCCCTGATGGCAGCTTGCCAGGGGGCAGAAAGCAGCCTCTTGTTTCCATAATTGCTTTTAAACACGGGAAAATAAATCCATCTGACTTGAAAGATTAGCAGTGGAGCTCAGCAGCAGTGAAACCCACAGCTGAGCAAGTTGGTCCTCACCCTGTGGTTACAGGGAATAAGATGACAATCTCATGGAAAGCTTGTGTGAGCTAAGCTACAGCAGAACACATGGAAACATACTTGGAGCTGAGGCAGCCACCAGCCCAATGCATGCCCTGGGCCTCTTACAATCAATCTGTCTGAGCTGCTCTGCCAGGAAGGTGGCCAGGAGCTGCCCTTTTCACATTCAACTTTAGGTTCTTCTGCTCTGTGCTACAGATTTGACCAGGAAGTAGCCTACCTGGAGGTAAGCCAGCCCTCCAGGCTGTACATCAACACATGTACTGCATTTAATACTGAAAGGTGCCAGTTTGAAAGACTCTGCAACATTCTGTTTGACCCCACAGGCTGGGTGCAGCATTACTGGAAGTTTCCTGCGCACTTACTCTACACCTTCTTCCCTGCTTCTGTTGCCTCTTATACCTGACCCTACTCTTAAAATATTCCTAGTTGCAGTGTCCCTGTGACCCATCAGATCTTTGGCCTTTGTGCAGACTGCCACTGCCAGGGCAGCCATTGCCTGCTGTGGTGGCTGCCTGTAGAAAGTGATCAGTTGCCTCCTGAGAACAGGCTTGTGGCTGGCTCAGAGAAGGGCAAAACTGAAGGGAAGAAATGATGGAGATGGTTGATGCAAGTGAAGTGGAGCAGAGTCTACAAAAAAAGGCAAAAAGGCAGCTTCAGTCTCCATTTGATACACAAATTGAGCTTGATAGCAGCAAAAATGGCCATAAAATATTAATTCATTAGGTTGCCAGGAAAAAGTGAAAGCATTCATGTAAAAAATTATATATACAGATATGTATGTGACAACTGTTCTTAAGCCATATCTCACCTTTTTTTCTTCTTTTCTATCTAGAATTTTAATAATTTACAACCACACTGCTGTTAAAATGCAAAGATCACAGCAGTGGAGTCACCACCAAGTGAGGGGTGAGATCACACTGAATAAATGAGCTTTGGGGGAACTCCTGACAACCCAGATATTTTAATATTTTTTTTTGACCTTCAAGTAATTAAAAACAAGGGGAATTCCCCCCAGTAGCCTCCAAGTAGGCTCCAAGTCTCATCTGTCTGCTTTTAAGGTAAGAAGGCTGACATCAGAAAGGCAGTGGGGGGCAAGGAAAGGAAGAGGGGAAAAAATCTGGGAACCAGAGTGAAGAGCAATCAACAGTTGAACAACACTGACTGCTGCAAAACTTACAAAACACAAAGTCATACAAATGGGATTCCTGTTAACCTTTGATAGACTATAGACTTTATATACACACACAGACTCCAAAGTACACATCTGGCAGTCTAGAAAATACCAGTACCCTAAGGATTAAATAATTTAAAATGCAATGTTGCATTATCACTGTATACAGAATGCTATCTGACACACTGGCTAAAATGGACAGATTGTCCGAGAAAGATGCTCCCTCCCTCACCTCACCAGCACTGCCTCTAAAAAAAAAACGGGGTGAAAGACTTCCCTCTGTGGTTCTACTCTTGAAATTCACCTTGAAACTTCTCTGTCAAAGATGGGGGAAGTCCTGAGGGGACGGGAGAAGAAAAGGAATAAAGGATTCCTGCTCCCTACAAACTCTGCCGCTACAGTACTCCTCTCCACTGGCTAAGGAGACTGGACAGCAAGGGTGAAAAAAGCTCCTAAAGCAAGGAAAAGGCAAATATGTTTCTAAAACAATAGTTACGCCGGTCTTTTGAGATACACACAGAACTCCACACCTGGGGGGACACCTTCAATCCCACTTTTTGAAGACAGCAGGTGGCTTAATGCAGAGTACAAAGAGTCTACAGCCTGACAGCAACAATAGACAGGAGTGAGCAGAACTGCACTGCCAACAGGTCCCAACAGACACACTGGGGAGGTGTGCCCTCACCAGGTTTCTAAGAGTATTAGTAAAACGGGAGCACTGGAAAGTCAACACAGAGGAATGAGGAAGGGGATGGACAGCCTCAGTTCTGGGGAGGAGACTAAAGCACACAGAGCAGGTGGCAAAGCTAATATATCCCTAAATGCCAGCTTTGTATATGTACCCTAATACTAGTGTATGGGACAGAACCTTGCTGATGATTCGTCAGTTCAGTTCTACCACCTTCACAGCCTTTAGAGCTGGTGAGAATCTGGCTTGTGTGTGCTTATTCCAAAACCCTTTGAGGCATGCAGTCTTGTTTCCACCTCTAATAAACCAAAACCATAAGCTCTTGGTGGAAAAATGAAAAAAAAACAACAAAAAACCCATTCCCATGTGTGTCTCCCACCCTTCCCCCGTAATCACCCTCTCTTCCCCTAGGACAGAGACAACTGAAGAGCTGCCTTGTTCTCCACTCCCAAGACCATTCCCAGCAGATCTGGCTAGGCAGGAACAGCAAGCTCTGCTCCCTCAGCCTCATCACACAGCCAGACCACAAGGGTTCCTTCCTCCCCTGTGATAGCTTCAACAAGAACTGCCTGTACAAGACATTGCGGTTGCAGCAAATTTTGGCCCTTAATTCTGAACCCAGCTTGCAAAGGATGAGAAGGCTCCATGGGAGCAGGAGCTTTGGAAATTCTCCAATTTCAAGCTCTACAGCCCTAAATATTGACAGTGTAATCATTATCAACTCAGAAATACAAAAAGAACCCTATCCAAAATATCTCACTCAGTCTGCCCTGCATGACTGGGCCAAAAGAACATAAAAGAAAGTGAGACAGTGTAGGACAGCAGAGAAAAAGAAACATAGGGCGAAGTCAGGCTGGAGGAAATTAAACAACCTCAGTGCACGTCTACTAAAATCATCACTGGATTTACCAGCCCAGTTCCACCTTCTTCAGACCAAAAAGGGCTTGCTGCTGTAAGTGTAGTACAGAAGAAAGAAGTGCATAGTTTAGTTCATTTTTTGGTAGACACTTAAAACTCAGCAGAATTTATGTGAAGATCTCAGAGCTGCAATTTTAGCCTCTCTTCCCTAGCCAATGACTACCTGTTGGGGCAGAGATGGTGGAAATGGACCAGTTAGCACCAAGAAATTCAGTGGGAGCACCAACTCCACAGCAGGAATTACTAATGAACCAAAACGGGGGAGTGGTGAAGAGAGAAAGAGAGAGAGGGAGATATGGAGAAGTGGAGGAGATATAATTTGCAGTAATCAAAGTCTGCATTGGCTAAACCCTATCAACACTTCCCCAGGTAAGGCCCCATTATGTCTGCAGCAAGACCTCTGGCTCTGACAGAGAGCTGTAGAGGGTGTAGCCCAACTCATCCACTTCTTCAGGGGTGAGCTCTGAAAACAAGTTCACCTTGGGGTTCAGGGCACTAGGGAGGACACCTGCCTCCAAGTAGCGGATCAGCCCCTTCAGTGCCTGCAAGAAGCGATCAGCCAGCATGTCCTGGGACCAGTCGGACTCCTCCTGGGAGAGGTGCAGGATGACATTGGTGAGCTGGCTGGCAGTGAGGCGTCCCAGAGCTGGGTTTAACTTGCACACTGCTTTGAAGATCTTGAGGCACAAGCAGCGGCAGCCAGAATCCCCCTGGTCCAGGGCGCGGAGGCGAGCCGTTTCCGCTGGCCGCAGGCTCAGTCGCCACAAGTTGTCATTCTGGGCCAATCGGTGAGGTTTGGCAACGAGGACAATGTCCCCCAGTGTCAGGGATGGTAGAAAGTCAATAAAAAGATGCCGATCTGCATCATACTGGACTTCCAGTGTCAAGTCTGCTGGGGGAGCCGCGGGACGGATCACATAGTCCAAGAGACTCCCAATTGCTGGCCAGTTGATTGACCCAGCTACAACTTTTTCAAAGGTGTCTGCTACAGTTTTGGGGGAAAGGTAACCTCCCACCACACAGCGGTCCCAGTAGCTGCTCCCGCGAGGAAAGTACTCTGGGTTTTCTCGACGCACCAAGTAGAAGCCAGGAATGTTCATGATAGTGTCCTCCCCGGGGATACACGACCACAGGTTCTGCTCCAGCATGAGAGGTACAATGAGCTGGATGTGGTCAGCTGTCACTACCTTTCACAAGAGAGAGAAGTCAGTAAGAATAAGCTTTCTATCTCCACATTCATTTTATTCATCACCTTTAGGTAGCCTTCTGTCCAAAGGAACCTGGAATAAGGATTCAGCTGTCTTGCTCTCCTCTCTGCGTGGGAATCCCAGCCTCCCTTTGTTAAAAGGCATTCTGAAGGACTATTTCCAGCCATCAGTAGGATAATTCCAAGGTATAGCCGAAGCTAGTGCTTATGTGGTATGTACTATTTAGAGACCTGACGTGGACTGCATACAGATGAATCAGTCTGCCTCATATTGCTTTAAGTCTGCTCCTTGGTTGTGAGGTGCAGCTGGCCTAGGGCACAGCAACACCACATGATAATTTAAACAGGAGACAGAGTATTAAGTTTCTTGACAAGCTTCCGTTGCCATGGTTTAATAATCCAATGCTACAGCTAGGTACACTGCCCTCACCTGGTCTGCTACATTGTTTGGAAAAAGGTCATTAAAGATCCCTTTTCATCAATGTGATTAAGACCCCAGGTCTAAGTTTCACTGGACATTCCATGCTCCATTCCAGAGCTCTGACTCAAACAAAGTGTGCCTCTGAATCACTCACTATAACCATGGGCATCTTGCCATCAGGGAGATATTGCAGCAGGGACTGCTGTCCAATCCAGGTCTGTCATGCATTTAAAAAAAAAAAAAAAAGGGTAGGAAAGACCTACATGAATACATGGGAGTTCTAAGGGAACGTATTCGGATGGTTACAGAAGGATGGAGAGAAAAGAGACATGTACCACAGAAACAGCAAGAAAAACACAACTAAAGTAAGAGAAGAAGGGAAACAAAGGACTGAGATATTTTGGAGAAATTAACCAGTAAAAAGAAAAGGGTTTGCAGACAATGACAGAGCAGCCTGGTCATGCCTGTTCACACAGCACTGTGGAAATCAACACCTGGCTCCATAGTGGGAAAGGCAACACCAGGGGCCTTATTACTGAGGAATGCTGTGCTGAGCCAGCAGTGCCATCAGGGAAGCCTGAAACGCCCCTGGGTGGTCAGCTCCCGAAGGAGGAGCCATGATGCGTCCCCAGGAGTTACCTGCAGGTCATCATAGAGGCTGCCGCTGAGGTACATGTCCCGCAGGGGCATGTCCGGCAGCTTGGCGCGCAGGAAGCTGCGCAGCTCCGCGCAGATATCCACGGCCGCCTGCTTGGCCCGAGCCTGCTCGTCCGCCGGGATCGCCACCCGCCGCCGGTAGTAGGCAAACAGCTTCTCCTGCAGGGACAGGCGAAGGCGGGACTTCTTCAGCTCCACCTGACTCCTCTTGGCAGATGGCTTGGGCTTTGTGGGTCGAAAGAAGTCTGCAAGACAGAATGAAAACTGTTGAGGTTGCAGCTGATTTTGCTGTGAAGTGTTCCGCAGAAGAGACTCTGCAGCGCGGAACTGCAGTCTCCCAGGTCTCAGAAAGCCCTTGGCAGACATTTTGCAGGCTTTATGCAGCTACCATACCAAAGGGGCGTGCTAAGGAACTTCAAAACGTACTACTAAAAGCATCAAAACAGATGAAAACAAGTTACTAGAACTGAAATTTGGCCAGACTAATATTGTGTACAAGGATGTAATTTTAATGGCTACATGGGCAGTATCTCAGCTCAATTTCATCAAAAATTCAGTACTGTTACAAGTTCAAAAGCTTTCAGTGTGATGCCAGACCAGTGAATAAAACACTTTTGAACAACCACCATGATCTCTTTGAGTTTTGAACATTGAAACAGATTGTTACAAATTACCAGCGAAACCCAGTCCTGACTAGCATATGAGATCAGAGAAGACTGTGCCACCTGGAAATGAAATAGTTGTTGGGAGTCTGATCTGCACAGTAATTAGGATGATGAGCTGACAGATCCTGGGGCCATCCCAGCTCAGGCCATCATTGCTCCAGTGATACAACCCTGAAATCTCCACTGGAAAAAGACCAGAGAGTCCACTCAGAAGCACAATGCAACAACACAAGGTTTACATTGCTATCTGCATTACTAAACAATGTCTGACCTGCACTGATTCTCTGAGTCCCTTTTTTTTTTGACTGGTTTCCCAAAGAAATAAATCAATAAATCAGTCTGTTTCAGATTTCTCTTAACGAAGAATGGACGAAGAGTTTCAGAAGTTAACAATGAAAATTAAAGGGGAATTACAGATCTAAGAGAACTTTGGAAAGGCTGTGATACCTATGGGTGCAGGAGAAATCCAAAGTCAGTGGCCCCATTAAAGCAATTGGCTGTTGCAGATTTGCTTGATGATTTGGCCACACAGCACAGGAGGAATGGCTGACCAAGCTGTACACAAAGCCATGTATCCCAGCCTCAGCAGCTGTTGTCTCTTGTCCCACTGGGTTCTAATGGATATATCTGAGCTTTTTTTGTGTAAAGGAAATAATGTACTAAACCACAGGGAACTGGATTTCATTGCCTATTCATGAAAAAAAAAATTTTCTTTACTGAGTTTTAATTTACTTCTAATTGAAGAAATTAAGACACCATCATCAACGTTTTTATTACTCAGCCCATATGCTTGGGGACACCAATCAAATTATCTAGACCCCATTTAGCTGTCTAGTTTTTACTGTTTCCTCAGCAGAAAACCTATTGCCATCCCAAATATAATTTCCTTTAAAATAATCTGGAAATTGAGTTAATAGCTTGATTCTGATTTTTAGTTTAAATCTTCAAGCGTAAATCTCCTAGTGACCAGGGATAGAAAGTAAAACCACTGAGAACAAAGAACCAACCACACGTAACAAAACAAGGTCGCATTCTAAATTACGGATTATCCCACCCAGAAAGAAAACTACAGGACACTTTCTATAGACTACTGAAGACAAATGCAGTGATAAGCAGTATTAAACAAGGAAATGTCAACCCAAAAATTATTTGGAAAATGGCAGCAATAATACAGGAAATGCTGTTATAAATTGCTACTACATTCCCAGCTTGAGTACTCCCCCCTTAAAAAGATGCAAGCAAACTGGAATGACCCAAAGAAAGGCAGGAGAGTTCTTGAAACTAATGGAATAGCTTTCTATCAGGAAAAAATAGATATTCATATTGAAAGAGCAAAAATGAGAGAGAATAAAGCTCAACACCATGAAATCATGAGAGGAATGAAGACTGCAAATAGATGACCATTACTGACTAGCTCCCAATGTCATCTCTGATTCTTGAAGTTACCAGTGGACCTGCTTAAAAGAAAAACATAAAAATCCCAGGCCAGACAGGGTATTTCCTTCCCCTGCATTCCCTTAAACAAATACAGGGTTTGTAGGCCTGGATGACTCTCTGATGCAGGAGGATGAGCATGCCTCTCACCAGTGTCTGCAGCCGAAGGATCAGTGGGAAGGGTCTGCAGGGAGCGGCTGAGGCTGGTCTTCATATCCTGGGTCAGCAGGCGTGAGGAGGAGCCCAGCCAGTTTGGCTCTTCCCAGCTTCTCTTTCCCGACTGGCTCAAGCGAGTGGGGCTGCTGGGAGCACTGATTGCCCGGTCGTACATCTAAACCGGGGAGAGTTTGAGTCACTGAGGGCCCAGCGCTTGCGTTTTAGCCAGGGCACTGCCAGGGCCGCGGCGCTGGCTCGCTCACTCACCCGCTTGACGGCCAGCGTGGCGATGCCCAGCATGGCGGCGCCGCCCACGCCCAGCACCAGCCGCGCGTTGGCCAGCACGAAGTCGATGGCGGTGCCGATGCCGTTGTCGTCCTTCTTCCCTTTGCGCTGCCCGGCGCCTGCCATCTTACCTGCAAGCGGCGGGAGCGTTACACAGCTGACGGTTCTGCCCTTCTCCCACAACACCTCACGCCCGCTGCTGCCGCCGGGTTTTACCGCAGGAACGGGCCACCCAACCCTGCACCCTCTCCAATTGTGTTCCCCCGAAGAGCCGCTTGCTCCCAGCAGTGCCAGGACAGTACTGACCAAGCAACGCCCAGTGCCTGGGAGAACACATCCAAATTTGATGTCAGGTTTCTAATAATTGAATAGGTTTAATGAAAGGAAGCAGAATTTACTTCTGCAATAAAATCCCTCATATTAAGGAAAACTCTCTAACTATTCAGGTATTTTTCTTATAATTTGTGCTTCTCAAGCAAAGCACATCCAATTTGTTTTGTAATTTTAATGTAACAAGTGTGACTTTGCTCACAGACAAGGCAATACAGGGTTGGTCAACTGTCTGGCACAAAGTGGAATATTCCCTAACAACTGAAAGGCAGTCTCAGAGCTTCCATTCAGAGATTAATTTCTGAACAGTGTCCAATCCCAGGTACTTCAAAGACACCCAAGAATCAATAGCAGACTGCAACACATCATAAAAGGAACAGCTCCCTTGCCTTCATTTGGGGTTTATTCCTGCCCTCGAGGCTGGTGGGTTTGACTCGCAGACAAATAATGTAAAACACTGACATGAATATTTTCTTACATGTGTATTTTTGTGTTCTCAAATTTTCATTTAACCTGACCTTGAGATTTAAATTTGAAGAGTCTCTCAGGCCAGCATGGCCTCAAGCTGTGCCAGCAAAGGCTCAAGCTGGATATCAGGAGGAATTTCCTCACAGGATGGGTGATTAGACACTGGAATGGCTGCCCAGCAAGGTGATGGGGAGTCACCATCCCTGGGGGTGTCCCTTGGATGTGACAGGCAGTGCCATGTTCTAATTACAAGGTGGTCATCAGTCAAAGATAAGATTCAATTATCTCAGAGGCCTTTTCCAACCTAAATGATTCTGTGATCCTGAAAAACACACTGCCATCCCTGTAGCCATAGGGGGATCCCCTGGTGAACCTATATGAAAACACGAAGAAACTCCTGCACTGTGACTTTAGGTTTGTTTTCTGAACCAGTGCTCAAGGCTCTGAGCCTGTCCGCCTGATTGGGGTGGTTTAAAACTACCATTTGTTTTTTCTAAAGCCAAGCCAGCGGGAATGTTCCTGCCTGGATGAACCAAGAATACATTGACTTGTCATCCCCAAGCAGAAAAAACCCTGCACTCTCACAAAGCTCACTGTAACAGGAGCATGAAAAACGCAATTTTATCATTGTAAATGACCTACCTGTGACCTAATGCATTTGTGAAGAGAACAGGAGAGCCCTCCTGGCGTGCCTGTGGAAGCACCTTCAGGACTTCTTCAAGCAAGTGGTGGGTAGTGAGTGTTAATCATCCCTTCTGGCTGGCGAGAGGATTTTGGAAAGAAGAGGTACGTGAGACCGGTGGGAGCTACGGGGAATCTCTAAACCAGGCCCCCGAGCCTGCTCTGCAGGAAAGCCCGTCCCTTCTCCAGCTGCCTTTCCTTGTCCTCCAGCCGCTGCAGCCCCTGGTTCCGGCGGAACTCGCGGCGGACGGAGGCGAGGTAGAAATCGCGGTCGGTGTAGCGCAGGCCGCGGCCGCGGCGCAGCAGAGCCCGGTACAGACTCAGCACCGCCTCCCGGGACCACGCGGCCATGGGGGACGGCTGTGGGGCGCGGGCGGGCGACCTGCAGAGGAGTGACCGAGGCCGGGATCCGGCTCAGCTTCTCCCTTCCCGAGAGACCCGCCGGCCGCCGCCTGCCGCTCCGCGGCGCCGCGTCCGCCTGTCCCACAGGCAGGGGTAACGGCCGGGCCGGGCAGGGGTAACGGCCGGGCCGGGCAGGGGTAACGGCCGGGCCGGGCAGGGGTAACGGCAGGGCGGGGCGCGGGGGCCGCTGCAGCCCCGCGGGAGGAGCGCGGCCGCCCCGCGCTCACCGGGCCGCTCCCGGGGTCACCCTCCAGCGCCGCGCTTCCGCTTCCGGGCCGCGGCCCCGCGCCCGCCAATGGCAGCGCCGCCCCCCGGGCAGCGAGCCGCGCGGGCCTCGCGCGGCGGCGGCGCGGCGCTGCCGCCCCCTGGCGGCCGGGAGGGGAGCGCCCGCGCCCGGCCCAGCCCCGCTGCCCGGGATGCTCCGGCCGGGAACGGCACCGGCAGCCCGGGATGCTCCCGCTGCCCGGGGCTCCGTGTGCTGCAGCGGTCATGGAATCATGGAATGCGTTACGTTGGAGAAGACCTCTGAGGTCATGGAGTCCAGGCTCTGACTGAATAACGCCTTGTCAACCAAATCATTGCACCGAGTGCCACATCCAGTCGTTCCTTAAACACCTCCGGGGTGACCCCAGCACCTTCCTGCAGCCCATCCCTAATGTCAAATCACCCTTTCTGCAAAGGAATTTCCCCTATGTCCAACTTGACCCTCCCCTGGAAGAGAGCAGTGGATCAGTGCTGCATCTCAAGGTTCTTCTGACTTCTGGGGTGCTTTTAACAGACTGACCTACCAAATTCAAGCTCCTTATCTTTATCTCCAAGGAACCCCCAGGGCTTGGTCTGGAAGCCTCAAGGCTCCGGGAGAAGGGCAGTAGCTGGCAGCCTCTCTGGGATCTGACTGAGATGATGGAAGAAGACTCCTCCCAAAGCCAGAATGTTTTGCTCCACTGTCCGGGTGTAAACCCCACTTTTCCATTCTCACCTTCTCTACTGTGAGATGTCTCTGGGACATATTTATTTCTCCTTAGCCATCCCCTCCTCCCCAGGCCCTACCTAAATATAAAACATAATGTGCTGTGCCTCCTCTGGAGGGGAGGGTGAGAGAAAGAGCAAATGGTGTGTAACAGAGGAGAGCCACATCACTTCACACAATTCTCAGTGACACCAGATATGACAGTGATAGAGCTGAACAGGAAGAAAAACAGAATCTCTGGACTGGCTCACTCTGTGCCAATCTCCTCTTGCTCATTTCCTTTCTGAGATAAACAACCCCAATCATTTTGATCTCTCTGTGAGCGAATTTGCCATGCCCCTAATCAGCCCTTTCTGAGAAGGGCTTACTTGAACTGCAGACAGTATTCCCAGAGAAGCCGTGCTAGTCATTTACATAATAGCATTATCATATTTTCCATATTATTCCCTTCTTCTTCCTTCTGCATGCTAATATTTTGTGTATGCTTTTTTTTAAACTTGCAGCTACTCTCAGAGCCAGGGTTTGTGTGACATCCATATTATTTCTTGGGTTGCTAGAGAACATCTGGAGCTTTGTAATTTTTATGTGCAATTTGTTTTCCCTCTTCTGACCTTGCATGTACCCAGCTGATCCTTGGCAAATATGTGGTGTTCCCTATTTGCCACATTTGCATTTTACTCAGTCCTTTTTGGTCTCCTCAAGAATCAAGAGCTTCGAGTCAACTTTTAAAAATGTTTGGTATATTGCTCATCTTTGTTTCCAGATCATCAGTTCCTGTATTGGGCTATCCAAGACCTCGGAGGCAGCATTCCCACTCTTAACATGCTGCCAGAATGAAAATCGATCTTTGACCCTTCCTCCCGGCTTCCTGCCTCCTCCTTGGGTTGTTAATCCTCAGCAATACTTCCCTTCTCACAAGCGGGCTCTGTCAGCCCTGGGCAGGTGTGCTGATGAGCCCAGCTCTCAAAAGTCTGGATCAGAACTTGAGCAGCCACATGTGGCAAACTGCTGGAGCACTGCCAGTGGGATCTGCCGGGTCAGGCCGAGCAGGGATGGACATCCCTGCTGCCCTCCTGCCATGGCAGCCAAGGACTGCCACATCCATAGGCAACCCCTCCCCAGCCCAGCCCCCTGAGTTGTGCCGGTTTTGGTGTTTCTCTCTGTTCTTCCCCCCAGGCTGGCTGCCAGCTCCCGGGCCCCTCGCTAGCAGCTATGTGTGCGTGTTGAGAGCTCCTGCACCCACACTGTGCAGTGTCTCCAGGTGCCCCAGCCCTTGCAGGGACGTCACTCGCTGTGCCCACTGCCCCATCGGCGCTGCCCACGCCTGCATTGCGTGGGCAGGGGTCTCAGCCTGCCCCTTCTCTCTTGCAAAGAGGAAGGCAGGTGCCAGGGCCGAGCAGCACACGAGTGCCCCACCTCTGGTGCCATGCTGGGGGTTGTACACTTGAACTCTGCCTCGAGACAGTGAAGCGTGATCCCTCGTCTCCAGGGTTTCCCAAACTGCTGACGCGCTGCACGCAGCTGGTGGGACCCAGCCAACACCCCAAAGACTTGTGCTGCCCTGAGGGCCCCGTTGCCTGCAGAGCCCTGTTGCCCATGGACTCACTGGGAATGGAGTTCCCTCTGTGATTCTAGCCTGTGTCCCTGTATGAACGGGAATTCACTTGACCTGACAGGGCCAGGTGCAGGCAGAGTGGAGGGAGCAGACCTCTGCTGTGCTCCTGGAGAACAATAACAACCTTTGTTTCCCAGAATGACCAAGTGAGCTTGAAATTTCAAAGGCAGAATGTGTGACAGGGCACAGTAACCCGTGCTGTTACCTGGAATAAGACTAAGGCATCCCCTCCTGTCCCCTGCCTTCTCAGGGGTCTCCAGAGCCACTCCTCTGCTGGTCTCCTCATGCTTGCAGCCAGTCCCACTCAAGCAGCCACTGCCACAGGCTTTGATGGTCACTAAAAACAGCAAATGGCTGCCCCTGAGCCCAGTTTGCAGCCTCTGCTCCTGGGAGGCAAGGGCCATGCCCAGGGCTTCCCACCACCCATTCTGCAAGGGCAGGACCATTCCCAGCCATGGAGACATCCCTGTGCTGCTTGTCACCAGGCAGCAAACCCTCCCTGGGCAGCAGGGAGGTCAATGTGAGCCTCAGAGCTACAAATCAAATGGCATCTTCGAGGGGCTGTGCAGGGATGGGAAACAAACTGTGCTTGGAAGCAGAAGGCTGGTGTCTTAGTGGAGCCAGAAAGCAGTTCTAAAATGTGAGGTGGAAGATAGATAGTGACCCACCAAGGGTATCTGAGCTTGAGCTTAAAATCTTCAGTATCTTCTAGTAAATGGACCTCATAGGAGGCCTTTTGGTAGTCTCAGCCCTGTTCAACAGCTCTTTTTTTAATCGCAGCTCAGTTTCTTTACTTTTCTTGAGCAGTCACAAGGATTAATGGCATTTGAGATCCTGCTCTCCAGCTGTGACAAGCCAGGAGGGGTGGAGGTCCAAGGGCAGCACACGTGGCTTCATTCCCTGAAGCCCCAGCAGCTTTGATGTTGAGTGCATGTGGGAAGACAGGTGGTGAGGGAGGAGAGACCACTGGTACACAGCCACTTTTCAAGGAGCATTCCTGATTTCGAGCAGAGACCCACATTTTAGTAGGACAGTAAATACCTAATCTGGCAAGCCACGCTCAGGGGATGTTTTTGACAGGGGGAAGAGGGCAAAGGTCCAAGCCTCACTGCAGCTGAAGTGGGGCTTTTCAGACCCCTGGACTTCCATCCCTGCAGTGCAGGGGGCTGCAAACACTGTCAGCAGCAAGTGATCTTCTGTGTGAAGCAGAGCTGCTGTCCCTGTGAGGGGCTGCACTGACAGCCACTGAGGAGGCTCAGTTTTATTACCTAACACATTGAAATTGCTTCTGTAGTACTTTTACAATTGGTCTGTGCCCACCTTCACTCCCAGCACGACTCATGTTTCTTCAAACACATTTCTCCATGGTTGGGTTTGTTGGAGACTTTCCTCATTATTCCCTGACTGGTAAGATTCCATCCCCCAGCCTCCCTCATCCCATTCTTCACTTTGCACCAGATGCATGCTGCAGTTTCCAGAGCCATTCTGAGACCCTGCTTTTGTGAGTGCTGTTGTCCTTGCAATCTTGCATCCCTATGACAGCCCCCGTTTTCTGCAGAGGGCTTGCAGCTGGTGGTACCACCTGCCTGAGCTGAGCTGCACATGCTGACCTCTGGCTTTCTTGTGCTCCTTTGCCTGCTGTGTGCTGGGATGAGGCCCTCTCGGTGTGAACATGGGATTTTGGTTTGTGTAAGGGTATCCTGAACTCCAGCATCAGGTGTGGTTTGGTCCCCTGTATGTACAGACCACCGGAGAAGGGTATGGCTGCTGTATTCTGCTGCTTCTCTTCTTTTTCCAAGCAAAGGCATCAATTGCACACCTTGCCCCTTAAGTCACAGGCCCTTAGATTTATTTTTGTCCCGTTTACCTAGTTTTGGTTTTTCCATGGTCTGACATTCACTTCTGGGTAACAGTTTGAGACAAATGCTTTAAAAACACTGTGAAGTAAAAAGAAGTGGGTAGGTGTTTTCTACATTCTTTTATTTTTGTGTGTATGCCTGGGTCTTAGTAAGTGTCTGAGGGGGGAAAAATATATATATATATATAACTGATGATTTGTTGCTCTCTCTTTGGAAAAAGTCCAGACTGTAGAACAGGGCTATAATGCCAGGAAAGAGCTTGCTGCATAGAGGCAGGCTTATGTTATTTTATTTTATGCATTCCTTGGATAACATTTTTTTTAAATTTCAGATCCTGGAGAAGTCATTTTAGAACTTTATTCAGCATAGCTTATTTGCTCTTCTTCTCAATTTTCCTTATTTTTAGAAAGGTGAAGTGTGTTCCCAAATTAAATTGTTACTGACTTGGACTTAAGCCAAGAGGATCCATGGTTCAAGCCATAAGGCACAGGAAACACAAGAGTAAAACAATGGAGTTTTATACTGTGTTTCATTTGGCAGGGTGAGGAGAGATATGGCCTTGAAAGATTTGTATTCTTACATAGCTGTAATATATTTTAAAAGACAGTAAGGAGTATTTTCGCTTCTCACTTTGCTTAAAAAAAATAAGCACACACAGAAATGCTGAAAATGTTGGGATTGCCAGATGCTCCTTAGTTCCAAGTAAAGGT